CACAAAAAAATCAACAATTTTACTTAAGAATATTTTATTAAACTATATTTCATTAAACCAAATGAAATACAAAAGTAAAAAAGTAAAGTGCAACATAAAGTGCAAGAAGCAAGTGTCCATCTTATAGTCCAAATCACTGAAATCAAAGTTCAGTATTATATTATAAGAACGACAACATATACACGTGTTCTAGTCTACTAATAACAAAATTATAATCAAAAAACATTTTTTAAAGGAGTATTTACCAGAAATATTATTTACCAGAATTTATTTAGGAGAAAAATTGATTAATAACATTTAATTTAAGCATTAAAACAGAGTATAAAAAATTTAAAATGGAAAAAAAACGGAATTTTGAAATAAAACGGAATTCATAGGGCCCTATAATTATAATTAATTTTTTTTGTGGTAATAAAAATAGGTTTAAGTGAACAATAGCCTTTAAAATTACTTAAAATACATATATAATAGCAATGAGGCAATAATAATTAGTTCAAATAAAGCATCAAAAGCAAGAAATCATATGGTTTTATTAAACAAAACTGTTAAAATACAATGTATTATAAATAGAGCTAATGTACATTACGCATTACAACAAAGGCCTGCAGAGGGCGCCATTGGCCTGACGATTGTTTTTACACATTACGGTGCGATCTAATCCTTATATTGACCAAGCACCATTTCATTCAAATGTCCACTTAATCTTTCATATTTGGCCATTTCTTTAGGACAGAAATGCTGTAGCCACTGTAATTAAATGAATATGTGGACATCAAAACGTGTAAACTCAGAGTGAGGGTTTGAGCTTTTATTTTGAAACCGCGATGTATTCTCCTGTGTTTGCGTAGATGCGCCACTTCCGGTATTTTGCCGGTTAGTCGATGCGAGCAAAATGAAGACAAGGATTTTAAAAAGTCGAATTAAATCGACGAATCGTGACAGCCCTATTCCATAGCCTTGAGTCTTCTGATCTCCCCTCTCCTTTGGGGGTCAAGACTCACTCCTTCTAAAGTTGACCTTTGGACGGGATGTCCCCGCCTACTTTGTCAGGTGCCTACCTGCACTCTGCGCCACTCCTGGCTCTGTTCTCTTGCTTTAGCTGTGCTCTTCCACACTAGTCAGGGATTTGTAAGTCTGGCGGCGTGGGCATTCTCGTTCCCATAGCGTTTCGACGCAGCTCGAGTTCCTGAAGGGGAACGTCTCCAGGTTACCCATGTAACCATGGTTCCCCGAAGGGAACGAGACGCTGCGTCTCAGTGCCATACTTCCGGCATCCCTGCGAGCGCTTGCTTCATTCCTAGAAGCTGACGCCGGTTCCACCGCAC